GATAGATAGATAGATAGATAGATAGATAGATAGATAGATAGATAGATGATAGATGATAGATAGATAGTCTTCCAGTATTGGAGGGGCTGCCCCAAAGAAGAGGAAGGGGTCCACCTATTCTTCAAAGCATCAGAAGGCAAGAGAAGAAACAATGGATGGAAACTTATCAAGGAGAGAAGCAACCTGGAATTCAGGAGAAACTTCCAAACAGGGAGGACAATGAACCAGTGGAACTGCTTGCCACCAGAAGTTGTAGTTGCTTTCATCACTGGAGGCTGTTAAGAAGAGACTGGACAGCCATTGGTCTGAAATGCTCGAGGGTGTCCTGCTTGAGCAGGGGGTTGGACTAGAGGACCTCCAAGGTCCCTTCCAGCCCTGTCATTCTGCCTTATGGAACATCTGGCATTCTCTCTTCTCTGTACTCACCCTAAGTCGTGGTTGGTCAGGGGCGCAAACGACCACCGTGTTGCAAATTGCCAGGGCAATGAAGAATTCAGTGATGTACACTATTTCCGGGATCGGCTTCCGTTTGTCTGGGTAGGAATAGGCTTTGCTTGAGATCCGATTCACTTTCTTCACAAGTCGCATATCTGGCACAACGTCTGTCTCCTAGGGGGTAATAACGTTAAAAAAGCAATCAGAATGACGTCGGGTTTCTCCAAGGCAAGCGGGCGAGGCAAGGAACAACGGACGGAAACTCATCAAGGAGAGAAGCAACCTGGAATTAAGGAGAAACTGGCTAACAGTGAGAAAAATTAACCCGTGGAACCGCTTGCCACCAGAAGTTGTGGCTGCTCCAACACTGGAGGGTTTTTTAAAGAAGAAACTGGACAGCCATTGGTCTGAAATGGGAGAGGGTCTCCTGCTTGGGGCTGGACTAGAAGACCCCCAAGGTCCCTTCCAGCTCTCTTCTGTTCTGTTCTACTCTATATTCCTATTCCTATTCCTATTCCTATTCCTATTCCTATTTCTATTTCTATTTCTATTCTATTCTATTCTATTCTATTCTATTCTATTCTATTCTATTCTATTCTATTCTATTCTATTTTCTAGTCCTATTATGATTCTATTCTGCATTCTACTCTACTCTACTCTACTCTATATATAGCCAGAAGTCTTTTTGAGTCTAAATAAAAAAGGACCCGTATGGAGGAAATACAGTGGCAACTCTATAGATTCTTGAGCAGGTCGGATGGTTTGGGGGATACTCACAAGAGGGCTACTGAAGGCTAGTTGTCTCCAGCCAACAAAGCCCATGCTGCTGGAACTGCGGAAAATCCGGGAGTTCAAAAATTCGCTGGATTTGCGACTGAAGAACCTCGCCCTGGACGCATGCCTCAGCGAAGAGTGCGACGAAAAATAGGCGGCCTCGTCTTCCTCTTCGTCGAAATCTTGATACGTTTCTAGTCTCTTGGCTAATCATGGAGGGAACACCCCCCCCCCCAAAAAACCAACTTCATTAGGAATAGTTTTCGACTTATGACCACAATTGAGCCCCAGATCTCTGTCGCTAAGCAAGACATCGGTTCGGTGAATTTTGAGCACATTTTACGACCTTCCTTACTATGGTTGTTAAGTGAATCAATGCAGTTTTTGAAGTTAGCAATACGGTTGTTGAGTGAATCTGGTTTCCCCCGTTGACTTTGCAAAAGGGGGTCGTGGACATGCAACTGTCATAAGTACATGCCAGTTTCCAAGCCTCCAAATTTTGATCATGTGATTTCTGGGGAGGCTACAAAGGTTGTAACCGTGAACAATGGTCCTAAATCCCATTTTTTCAGTGCCGTTGTAACCTTGGTCACTAAATGAACTGTCGTAAGTGGAGGACTTTACCGAAAACGAACTGGTCATGGACGTGCCTCAGTCTTACCATTTTCCTCATGGCCGTATTCCAACCCTGCGATGCTGCATCTCCGGAACACCATTTTATTCTCTGTGAGGGTACCGGTTTTATCCGAGAAAATATATTCGATCTGGCCCAGATCTTCCGCGATATTCAGGGATCCACACTGGATCTTCCGGTCGGACACCTCGTCATATAAATCGATGTCGTTTCGGATTAAAAAGATGTGCCCCAGCTTGACGAATTCAATGGAGACGTAAAGAGAAATTGGGATTAAGACCTGTGAGGCAGGAAACAAAAAAAAAAGGCAGATTTGTGAGGTAAAAAAAAAAAGAGAGACATGAAATATGGCTTCCTCACACAACCAGATCTTCTTACCCATCACAAGCCAGCAAAGTCAGGTGAGAGCAACACTGACTTTCTGACTTTCTGACAATCCAGACGGTGGCCAAGGCAGGCCGTAAAGCGGGGACCAAAATTCACTGAACGCATGCTTCGCTTAGCAACAGAAGCTTTGAACTCAAGGGCGGCCGTAAGTCAAGGACTAGCTGGACAAGAAAAACAGCCCACCTTGTTTCAACCCCGTTCAAAATACTTCAGGATCAACGGGGACATAAAAGTCACAAAAGTTAGAAGGAAGGAGCTACAAAATTACCTGCAATAAAATTATCATTGTCCAAAACATTAGAAAACCTCCCAATTCTGCAGGTAATTCTTTCCCGCTTGTATAGAGAGGGGTTGCAGGATTGGCCCTTAGCCAACGTCTGTGCCCTTTCGGGAAAGAAAAGAAATGGGAGATTTGGAAGAGTTAAAATATCAAAGATGAACGTTATTTATTGTCCTTTAACACGATTTTGTCTTAAAGAAATCATACATGGTTTGTTGTTTTTTTTAAGACGATATTGTTTTAAAGGCTTAAACTTTAAACTTAAACTTACCCCAGAAAGCAAAGATCTAAAATTAATCTGGTTTTATGCACTTTTTTAAAAAAATCTGACCATTACTGATTTTAAAGATGATAGGGGGGAAAAAGTCACTGAATTCAACAAGATTTCCATACATTGTCTTTTCACACAGCAAAAACAGTCTCTGGAGAATGCTTATGTTAGTCAATTTAAATAGAAGTTCCAGAAAAACATCAGTATTAGCAGTATAAAATTATATAGAGCGCTATATTTTTTAAACAAAAAATTCAATGGGTTAAAATCTTTTTTTATTGCTTTGTCTTCTCAGTTTTAATAGAAAATGTTATTTCAGTACGGTGGTATTTATATGACCTATTTATATTTTTAATGTTATATTATTTAGGCATCTTAGAAAATAAAATACAGTTATGAGAAAAAAGGAATATCCTCGCAATATTAATTATAGTTTTGGATATGAATGTTACAAATAGTGTTATCCTCTCTCCCTCCCTTTCTTTTCTTTCTTTTTCTCCCCCTCTCTCTCTCTATCTCTCTTTCTTTCTTTCCTTTATTTTTCTTTCCTTTCTCTCTCTCCCTCCCTTTCTTTTTCTTTCCTTTCTTTTTTTCTCTCTCTCCCTCTTTCTTTCTTTCTTTCTTTCTTTTTCTTTACTTTCTTTTTCTTTCCTCTCTTCTTTCTTTCTTTCTTTCTTTCTTTCTTTCTTTCTTTCTTTCTTTCTTTCTTTTCCTTCCTTCCTTCCTTCTTTTTCTTTCCCCTCTCTCTCTTCCCCCCCCAATCAGGTTTAGCAAATTTAAAAGACTGAAAGTAAAGTTAAAATATAATAATGATGACGATGATGAAAAATTACACTAAAAAAACAACTTCTGACTTCCCTATGTGTGTCAGTTAGTCTTGTCTTTAACTTACCGATCGCCCCTATGAAGCACATCACTATGAGAAGCAACACGCACCAGACGATGTCCCTATTCATTCTCTTCTCGAGTTTGCTTCGCTTGTACCGAGGTCCCATTGTGTTTAACATGGCTTTTGTTTCATGACCTTGCAACACATACACACACACACACACAAAAAGAAATGCACACTGGGTGTCTCAATGCAAAACAAAACTTTAACTCATTAAGAGGAGGGAAGCGGTGTAACCCTTACGCAATAGCAATAGCCCTTAGACTTATATACCCTTTCATAGCCCTCTCTGAGAAGTTTACGGAGTCAGCCTATTGCCCCCAATAATCTGGGTCCTCATTTTACCGACCTTGGAAGGACGGAAGATTGAGTCAACCTTAAGACGGTCACGATCAAACTCCTGACAGATGGCAGTCGGCCTGCAATAGTGCATTCTAACTACTGCGCCGCCACCATGCTTATGTGATGTTTACATAATATTTTCTAAATCACGTGAACCTCAGTCGATCAATCCGTCAGGATAGAGCTGGAAGGGACCTTGGAGGTCTTCTAGTCTAACCCCTTGCTCAAACAGGAGACCCTAGACCATTTCAGACAGGTGGATGTCCAATCTTTTCTTAAAAACCACTAAAAGTTCTGGAATTGTGTTTCGTGAACATTTGTATTTCCTGATTGATCAATGAATGGGTCGATTTCTTGCAGATTTTTCACTCCAGCCCAGTCCAGCTATGGCACCCACCTGCGTAAACCACGATGCCAAGCACAGCTTCTGTGTTCCTGACAATACATCCGCGCATGAGCAGGTTGTCCTTATTTAAGCCCACGCGCACCCCATCCACGTTCTCACTGCAACACATGGAAATCTAAGAGTGATTTTTTAAAATAATTTTTAAAATATTTTTTATTCGACACACACAAACAAAAACAAAAAGAAACATTAAAAACATTGAACGTGACACAATCCTCCTAACCCCATAGTTGTCTTACATTGCTAAATCACACATAAAAATAGTGCATTTTTACATTCTATATATAATATATATATATACATTTAATCATTTCCGATTGTCTTGATCCTGTCTCTTTTCTAACCAACCATAAAACTTATCCCATACTTTGTAATAATCCGATTCATACGGGTTGTTATTTTTCTCAACAGCAGAAGAGCATCTTCAAAACCACTTACATGAAGCCCCGGAAAGAATTAAGGTCGTTGTTAGGAGTTTCACATTCAATTCTGCATATAATGTCTTCTGGATTAATTTCATAGGCCTGCAAAAGAGAAAGAAGGTAGGTAGGTAGGTAGGTAGATAGATAGATAGATAGATAGATAGATAGATAGATAGATAGATAGATAGAAACTATTCCAGGAGAGAAACAATCTGGAGTTAAGAAGAAATTTCCTAACGGGCTTAACCGGTGGAACAACTTGCCACCAGAAGTTGTGGGTGGTCCATCCCTGGAGGTTTTTAAAGAAATGATTGGACAATCGTCTGAATTAGTATAGGGTCTACTTCCTGACACAGGGGCTGGACTAGAAGACCTCCAAGGTCCCTTCCAGCTCTATTCTGACTGATTGATTGAAATGGTCTAGGGTCTCCTGCTAGAGCAGGGGGGTCAGATTCCCTTCAGAACCGTGACGCTGTGACCCCGAACGTCGCTAAACGGAACAGCTGTAAGTCTAGGACTCCCGGTAAGACCCTCAAGCGTGACTGGTACCTGTTCGGCGAAGCCCTTCACCACCTGTCTCTGTTTCAGGTTGGTCTCTCCATCCAGGCTCGAAGTCTCGATGTGGCAGATCCCATCCCCGTCGCTGGAATAGATCAGGATCATGTCGGCCGGAATCTCTTCGTTGCAGGCCAGTCGGATAAAATCCCCCACGCTCACTTCACTCCAAAACTTATCTATGTAGTCTCTTGATCTTCTGAAAAAAACAGGGAAAAGGTTTTCAAAGCATTAAGTAGGTGGAAAACCTGAGTATGCCACTTTTTTGTGTGTATTTTATTGATACATTTTTCTTTAATAAGCATAAAAACTCAATATCTATATGAACAGTATGTTGTCTGAGTACAGTTAGTTTTGAAAAAGAATAGTAGTAATAATAACAATATTCATATCACTGATAATAATCACCATAATAATAATAACATTGGCTTCTTCATACAATAAACCTTCATTGTATACAGTGTTTCCCCCAAAATAAGACTGGGTCTTATATATTAAACTAGCTCAATACCCATGCTTCACTACAAAACTATGTGGTCGGGCTTAGTTTTTTGGGAGGAAAATAAGGAATTTGTGACCTTCCAATCAGCAAATTCATTTAACGACCGTGTGACTTAGACCCTTCAATGGGCCCTTGTTAAATTGAGGTCTCACAATATGCCGCGGAAGGACTGTTACGTACCTACAATACGCTCTGGTGAGGAAATTGTTGATCTTTTTGTCTAATTTGTACTTTGTGTAATCCTCCAAGCCGTCTTTCACGGCGATAATGGTGAGAACCACACAGAGAGGAATCATCGTGATTTCCTTCCTAAAGGCTTCCACCGCTGGCACCCAGTTAAGCAGAGCGATAAATAAGAAGTACAGATTGGCGACCCTGAAATAGAACAATCCACCGTAAACATACAAGACACATGAGTGGTTATTAGTATGCAAGCAACCTTAGCTAACCAAAGGACCATTGAAACAACGTCATGCATCCGCAAACCATAGGTGTTTATCATATGTAATCTCAAATATCCAGATATTTGTCTGGTTTTGACTTAAATAGTCTGTTTAAAATTATAGTTCAAACAGTTCAGCTTAAGTCACCGCAATATAAAAAAAAATAGGATGTTGAGATTCTAGAATAGGAATAGAATCGAATGAAGGATAGGATGGGATGGGATAGAACATAAAGAATAGAATATAGAATAGAATAGAATAGAATAGAATAGAATAGAATAGAATAGAATAGAATAGAATAGAATAGAATAGAATAG